TAATGTTTTTAGCCATAGGTCAACTCTAAAATCAAACAGCTTGATGTAGAAACTTTAAGTGCAGTGTACTTGTATGCTAGAATGGGATCTAGTGCACAAGGCTATCTATAAGGCAGGGAAAGGATTTTTATTTTTTTTTAACTTGGCCAGTAGGGCTGTGTGAAGCTTCGGTCCTTGATTCGATTTGGCAGAGATTTGGCTCGATTCGGTGGCCAAATCTCCAAATCAAATCAGAGGACCTGTTAATCTCTCCAAATTGAATTGGAACCCCCCAAATCGATTCAGAGAGATTTGAAAAGATTCAGCGGTTCATACATAGACACAGCTTTAAATGTTTTTTCTACATACCTCAAGGTACCAGGCGGCTCATAAATGCTGCAATGCTGAGGCGCATGGAGCGTCCCGCAGCAGAGTTGCGGGGGTCCCCAGTGCACTTGGCAGCAGACCTGGAAGAGGACCAGAAGCACTTCCGGTCCACTTCTGGGTTCTCCAAGGAGTGCATGGGGGGTGACCCCGCACCCCGCTAGCTCAATGCCTGGTGCCTCCTGGGTCTGAGGGCAGGAGCCAGGATCCCCCCCGCAGCCCATCTCTGAGCCAGAGGGGGCCCCCTAGCATGCTCGCCGGTGGACCTGGAAGTGGACCAGAAATACTTCTGGTCCACTTCCTGGTTTGCACCCCGAATACATGGAGGCTCCCCCGGACTCCTGTGGGATGCTCCATCTGCCCCAGCATTGCAGCATTCACAAGCCACGCTGGTACCTCAAGGTATGTAGAAAAAAATTTTAAAGCTGTGTCTACAGCCAAATTGCTGATTCTCCAAATCAGCATCGAATCTTCAGATTCGGATTCAGCCGAATCGAATCAAGGACAGTGATCCAAATCAACAAATCGAATCACTGTCCCCAATTCAGGCCAAATCTGAACTGAATAGGGCCTGCTTCACACACCCCTATTAGCTAGTAGCAGGCTAGGAATCTTGCAACACCCACCCATGTGTCAGGGACTTGTTGGAAGCTTTAAATGATCCAGCTCCAGCCTTGGCAGGATTCTTCATGTTCTATACTTTACATCATGCTATTCCTATTTTTGCCCCTCTAGCTCTCTGGAAATTGTAGATTGTACAGCTTCCTGGTCAGAAAGATGAGCCTAATACAGATTTTATACAGTTAGATCATAAAGCTTACACTTCCAGAAAATATGAATATGGACTTTATAAAAAGTCTTTCATGCCAAATTCTCTTGAGGATCTACAATGGGGTTGAGAAGGCCTACAAGAAAGCAAGCTGAAAAACTGAGTAGATATCAGGGTGGTATCGGCGGAAGCAGAAGAGTTACAAGATATGTGCACCAGAACTCTTAAGAATTTCATCAATCCCCTTTCTCTCAATCTTTCCCCAGCTGTTTCCAGTGAATCCTACTGCTCTCAGAGTCCATATATTTCAATGGGCTTCCTCTCTACCTTCTACTCCATATGCTTGCAGACCACATAGGATTCAAAGGTTTTCCTTGGCCATGATGAATCCTACAACCCTCCTGCTTCCCTCGATTCACTTTTCCAATTCTCTGGACCTTGATTCCTAATCCATTCCATTTTTATCCTCCTGTAATTTGTTAAGTCCACTTCACCTATTATAGACCATTATCAGGAGCCAAATTCTGAGGTACCTGATACAGATTAAAGTGCACACTGGCCAAAATAAATATAAAAATCTGTCAGTGTTCAGGGTTCAGATCCTCGACAGCTGCTGTGAATTACAGAAGGTTCACAGGAAGGGAGATCCAAATATTATTTAGGTATTTGATTTATATGCCACCCTCCCCAACAAAGGCTCAGCGCAGCTTACAAAAAGAAAACAGAATTAATTTTAAAATGGTAAGTGATATGAGGTCCAAAGGATCTTAAAATGGAACTAGAACATCAAGAGAAAACAGACACCCCATAAACAACATCTCAACTTGGTTTTGTTTGATGAATGCTTGCCCAAATAGGAAGGTCTTACAGCACTTTCAAAAGGTGTCCAGGCTTGGGCTCTGGCAGGCTTCAAGAGGAATGGAGGTCTAAAGCTGAAGAGCAACTGCAGAGAATGACCTCCCACATGTTTTTGCCAAGAGAACCTGGTGAAATGGTACTTGCAGGAGGCTGCTTTTGGCTGACCTTAGGGATTGCAATGGGTCATAAGGGAGAAGATGACCCCTTACCCAGACCATTTAGGGCCTTATAGCCCTAAATCAGCACCTTGAATTGTGTCCAGAAAGTGATTGGGAGGCAGTGCAGACTCTGGAGTACTGAAGTTATGCATTTCTAGTCACCCGCCCCTGTCAAAAGATGGGCTGCCATGTTGCGCATCAGCTGAAGCTTCCAGACATTCAAGGGCAGCCCCATGTAGAGCACATGGCAGTAACTGAAAGGAATGGAATTAATTTTCCATTCATCTGACTTCCTATTTGTGTCAAAGCAGCAAATCTACTACACTTTGCATCTACTGCATTATGGATCTCACAGGGCCAAGGGAAACTGTGGCTGGGAGCTTTGGCAGAACCACAGACCCCATACAGTGTGAGGACACCAGCATGGTGTGTCAATGGCCATGTGGCAGGAGTTTCTTTGGCCCCCAGCCACTCAGAATTTGGACAGCCCTGCTCAAAATGTTTATAACTTATTTATTCAATTAGTGATTGAAAACTGTGGTGTCTATCTTAAATTAGGAAACTGATTCTGAACAGTTCGGTTAAAGGGCACATTATTTTTTTCCCCTTGATTTAGCCTTCCCAAAACAAGGCACATGTTTTATTTAGGGGCATGTGATGTGCAAATAAATAAAATAAAATTTTTCCCTCTCAATTTTCATTCTGAAGATGCTACATATACCATTAAATGGATGCAACTGGCCAGCTGCCTTACAACGGTCAGTGAAATGATTTTGTACATAGTTAAATTAGATTATCAGTTGACTAAGCCTCTAAATGTACTTTGGACCCACAGACATTAAGGAAACTAGCTACACAAATATAAATTATTATAATTATGCTGGAAATTATTATTTGACTTTAAAATGAATTGTGTATTCACTCATCACATTAGTTTGGAATATAAACAAATTTTACTTTGAGAAGTAGCATCTGCTAGAATAAACTTTCAAGTTTTGCCTTAATGTCGGCTAGTACTTTAAAGTTAATGTCTTTGGTAACATCAAAATCAATGTTTCTGTCCTTCCCTCTGTTTCAACTTGTGGTAGTAACTGATAGTTATGCACGAAAAATGCTGTGCCTGCTGCATTTGGATTTACCAATCTGCAATAACTAAGTTCAGAGTTCATTGCCATGAGATTCAGATGGGTTCCTACATTTGCCTACAGATCCAGGAGTCTGATTTGCCTCTCAGTTCCACTGGGTTGAAATCAGGGCGCAGTTCTTGATTTACACCAGGAAAATTAGAGGAGAATCTGGGTTTCTATATCTGTTTGGTTACATAGTAGCTTTATACCAAAGTCCACACAACTGGCCAAATCCTGTACACACTGATATAAATTGGTCAAGGAATTAAGTCTGAACATTATAATAATAGCAAGGTAATGTAATTTGAAATGAATTGGCTTTCAACAGGTTTTCCAAAAGAGTTATATCTGTACCAACTTTGTATCCAATGGGGACCACCTACAGGACTTAAATAACTGAACCGTTAATTAAGTCCATGAAAATTGTGACTTGACAGTAGGCTGAATTGTATTCCAGGTGGTGGAAATAGAACACGCATATGTTACAGCATGTATGTTTGCTGGAAAAGATTTATTTTGAACCCTTCTGTTTGTTTCAACGTTGTTAGTGTTCTGCCCCTTGAAACTCCTATTATCCCACTGCAAGCCAATGAGGTTAGCTATATCCTGTGACAGAAGAGTAAGGGATTTGGTATGCAAATTGCATTCATTGTGCAAACTGATCTGAATGCCAAGCTATATAAGTTACGCTATTTTACAGCTTTTATCTAACATACAACTTACGTCATTGATCATATCACCAATGAACTTCCTGTAAATGAGTTGGTACTTACATCCTTCCCAGCACTGGCACAGATACCAAGCTGGTGTAAAACAGCATGTTGTCAGAGGCCTCAGGGTGGGGCCTGTAATTCACAGAAGACCTTATTGCCAGCTTTTATCATGTGTTATAACATAATGTAGTGTCCCTTCCTTACAAACACTTGCAAATACTGTAATCTTTTCCCTGTGATAAGCTTCACTGACTTCAAAAATTTTGAACCACTAACCTTTTGCAAAAGATTTTGCTGGAGGCACTACTCTACTACTACTATCACCTCCACTTCCCTCATAAGGTAGTTTAATAAATAGGTAATGAAGGTATTTGCACCTATAATTACTATGTATTCCAGGAAATTCTTTTCTAGCTACAGTTACTTGGACCGTTACATAGTATAATTTACAGAGAAGCAACCTTCCAAAGAAACTTTTTTAGTCAAAATAATAAGTCACATAGAAAGAGGTATAAGCTTCCTTTGTCAAAAAAACAAGGGTTCATATGATGAGCAAATACTTCCATTTGGCTAGGATTTCAGGCACAAATTTAAGGCATGGATCCTGAAAGAAGCTCTACCTGTTGGATCCTTGCATTCACACAACCCCATGGATATCAACTGGGGTTCCAATAGCTTACAACTGAATGTGGGAAAATTCAGACCAGAAATGAGATGCAAATTTTTAGCTCCTGACTGTAATTAGTCACAGGAACAACCTGCCAACAGATGCAGTGGATTTGTCATCACTTGAAGCCTGTTAAATCATGAGAGGAAACATTTCTAAAAGAGAGGATCCAGGTCAGGCACACTCTTGTGACCTGGTGAAGCAGGAGGATAGCTGAAAGGATGATTATGGTCCTTCTGGGTTTAAAAATCTATGAAGGTAGATGCAAGGAACCCTGGCACAGAGACAGTTTCAGGATGAGATTTAAAGAGTATTTGTAAGTAAAGAACATACTAGGTACCTTACCTTGTTTACATCCAAATATTCTAACTTTGGCACTTCTGCTGTCTCTTGTTCCTCGCTACTTCCATCATCCATGTCACTGTCTTCATCCTGTGTTGAGTCTCTCTTCTGCTCCACAGGTGAACATTTGCTACCTTTTTTGTCAGTATCCATTTCAATCGGATTTCCAGATGCAGTAGACTTCTTCTGTTCTGTGCCTTCTTCATTTGGAAAAGTCTCGCCTGCCACACTACAAGAAGGGCTGTCAATTCCACTGTCTCTGTTGGGAATTTTACCATTACCATTCAGCTCTGTGGTTGAGTCTTTATTGCCAAGTTCTCCAGACGGCTCTTTGCTCACATTCACAGCAGTACAGTCTTCATGGCTTTTGTTATCCCCTATGCTTAGTTCCTTAATTTTCATTATGTCTGTGTTAGACAGATCTGAACTGCATATTAGGTCTGGCTCATTCTCATCTGGCTCACTTTTTTCACTTGCAGAACAACCACTGGAGGCTACCATGTCAGAGTCATTTGAGCTTGGTTGTTTGGGGGAGTCTAATCCAGGTTCCATCCTAAGCGTTAAATTTAATTGGTTTCTTTGAAGAATGTGTATGGGTTGCCTGAAGGTAAAGAGGGAGCCCTTGGTCATTCAAATTTACATTTTCAAGCTGGGATGTTAAAAAGTGTCTAAGAGGCCACTGAATTTCAATGGAAGTTGAGCCCTACAGTCCCCCATCAGACACTCTGTGGCCCTCCCAACCCAAATAACCCAATCACTTTATCATTCCTTTTGTCCTTCCTGAAAGAACAGTTTTGCTTGTTTGCTTAAACAGGACCTCATTGTCCTTCCGTGAAATTAACCATGCAAAGCAGTGTTATTTTCTGCAAGTTAAGAGTTTTAAAGGGACAGGACTGCAAGAAATGTCAAAGTGATACTTTCAAAATGTATTTGCCTTGTTTAAGCATCAGCCCTAGCAGAAAGAATGCTTACAATAAATGATCAAGCCCTATACCTTGTAACTTTGACTGTCAGGAAGAATGATCATGTGAATAGCTTTGCAAAAGCAACCAATTTTCCTGTAAAATTTGTTGTACCAAATCAAATATTTCTTGCAATGTCTTTAGAAACCAGGTTGTATATTACATTGCTTTGTGATATGCTGCAATCAAATTATGTTTTCCCTTCACAAACTGTGGGTAAACAACAAACATGGCATTTACTCAAGGTTATAAAGTTTTACCTGTAAAATCAGAAGCCTCATTTATTTAAATTATACTGATCAAGATTCTGCAATGCCAAAACAATTCGGATCCAAACTTTACAGACACTGGCACAAAACTGCCATTCATTCACTGATTTTCATCATGACCCATGATAGGTCACAGACGAATAAGTCTTAAAGACACACTGCTTTTGTATCCAGTCCCCATAATCACACAGTTAAGTTTAGGGTTTATGATTAAACCAATGGCTTAACACCACTTTCCACACAATTACAATAAGTATTATTCCCATTGAATGTGCTTCAAAATTCAATGAAAAACAAGCAACTTAATTAAAAGGCACAAAGATATATTTACCGAATACTTTCAAACTTTTCAATGAGGGTATTGACGCCTGCTGATATCTGTGTTTCTTCCTCTTCAAGCACTAAGTTCCTAGATGACTTGGGGTCAGCTGGCAAAGGTCGAGATGGTGCTGGAGGAATTCTCTCCTGTCCAGGCTGGAGGTGGACAGGCTTAGGAGGTACTAATAAAATTAAGGGGAAATAAGAGAAGATAAATTTCCTACTTCTTTATACCAATGAGGATAGTAGTCCCACATTCTGATGAAAGAGTGGGAAGTATCCATTATCCCAAGCTGTTTACTAAAGACATAAGAACTAAAATAGTCCCAACTTATTCCTCAAGTAGACACATTATGATATGTTCTAAAGATAGGAAAATGGCTTCTCTTGCATTTCTACTAAGTTGTCAGAAACACGGAGTGGCTGACAACGTTACCGCTTCCTTGTTGCCAAACAGGATGCATAGCACACACATGCAGATTTGGTTTTGCGAATGTTCTCATTGCCTCCACTGGAGAGGCACATTTTCTTTACATTGACTTTTCAAAAGTTAGAATCCTGCTCAACTGAACACACTGAACTAGGGCTGTAACAAAAGCATGGATCTGCATGCCTCCTATTCATTCTACTAGAAGTCTGCAAGCAACTGTGTACTAGACTTTCTCTCACCTTCCCTCCCCCATCTCCGCTGTGGTACAGTCTTCTTCACAAATTTCCTTCCTCTTTTGGTACTATGCTGAATAAGACACCATGCATATAAAATGCTTGCTTTAAAAATGTGTCCATTGTGGGAAAAATAAATTTAAAAACTTGGTGCCTTCACCTTTTAATGAGTCCTTTACCAGCTCTTCTGATCAATGTAATTTAACAAAATGTATGCATTCAGCTCCTCATATTGTTTGCAGGGTAAATGGTTTTATAAATACGTAAGCAGTAACCCATGGCAACAGGTTTATATGCTTTTACCGCTTAGTATGATGAAAGCAACTTCACATAAATAAACCCTAAACTAGAAGCTAAGAAAATGACAGTAAAATAGATCCAGAAGTGTGTATTGCTTTGAGCAATACTGTCCAACATTCACTCAAGCCTAAATTGCTTAATGGGGAAATATTCAAATAGTTCAATACATAAAATTCTAAACATATGCTTTCTTAAATAACTTCTTAAAAACAGCTTAATTCATCTTTGCATATTAGCCAGAGCAGCTAAATGACCCATACGGAACATGTTAGCATAATGTGATTAGTCTTTAATTATTAACAGTTTGGAATCTGTATTTTTAAGGGTTATTTTTTAACATAACAACTGAAACGTATGTGTTCTGAGAGCAATTATTCCAGCCATCTTTACTCTGTGTAAGAATTTCAGTCTTCAGTCTTTCAGAAAGATGATTTTCTTTCCTTCGGACAGATGGTCAGTTGCTCTAAATTATCCCAGATCCCTTGAAGTCAATGACTACAGACTACTTAATGTGTTTGAATGCAGTATGCATTAGGATTTTCAACTAAACTGCAGAGCAACACTAGTTCAAAATAAAGTACATCTTTCTAATGATTTGAGACTTACTGGGCATTCAGAGTGGGAGGATTAAGCGACTGAACTGCCGTAATGTGTCCAAGACCACCATGAATTCCTTACTGAAAAAATAAAGGAGGGGTCCTTTTTATGATTGAAAAAATAAAAATTCACAGAACGGCTGAAGAGAGAAGGGGTGGAGGAGCAGGGAAGGGGAACCTTCTTCTACATGAAAGGATGGGTGGGTCTTTGGTGCATTTGTTACTGGCTTTGTTCACAAGGTCTATACATCCTTTTGATGTTTGTTAAACTTATTCAGCTCTTTAAAACTCTGTTGAACCTTACATACACTCCTGGCTGAGTGGGAGAGCCATGCCAAACTTCACTGAGGTCTCTCTTCATAGGAACATAGGAACTGGCAGGCTGGATCACACATAAGAAATCATGTAGGCCAGCACCCTGTCTTTAACTGTGGTAAGCAAAAGATGCTTTGGAAAAAGTTGTCAGAAGCCTGCTGTAGAAAGCTGTAGGATGAACTGCCTCATTAGGATTTATCCTGCTCTCTAGAAGTTAGAGACTGACTCAGTTTGAGACTGATTAAAGCATGAGCCTTACTACTTTTCTCAACATTTTAACATTCGTTGCAACAACTCTAGATATTCTTGTTATCTACTTAATGGCTAATCTCTTCTTGAATCTCTCTGAACTTTGGCTTCTATAACTGTAACTTAGGATTTACTGTCACAGAAGTCACGCACTGTGTTATGAAAATATTTTTTCTATTTGTTTTGAATTTGGCTGTTACCAAAAAAATCAGAGTAATGGGTTATGACCTTGGTGGACACTTTAAGAGCAACAGATAAATTATTATTCAGTACAATGAAAGCATGAGCCAGACAAGAGACTCTATCAGTCACGAATATGAAAATAGAAACTCACACCTGATACAGCTCTTCTTCACCAATAGAAAATGTACTAACACATTTTTAGTAGCAGTCAGATAAGAACAGTCTTTGGATTCCACATCATATCATGGTGTGAAAAGTGTTTAAAATGGAATAAAAGCCATTTTGAAAATCACATTCCTGACACCAATTTCAATATCAATTTAAATTCTATTCTGAACTAGTATTTTTAATCAAATGTATCCGTTCATATTCAAATCCATTTTAGAGTACTACAAACAAATCAGAAAAATTCCTAAATAGTACGATGGGATTCTATCACAATCAGCTTAAATGGAAATATGTAATCAGCATTATCACTAATGGAAATTATGTAACTGATTATTTTTGGCAAGTCCAGGGATAATGGACCTAGAGTAAGAATACAAGAGAAAGTAGTGACATTTCATTCAGGAAACAGGTTCTATCCCCTTTCAACCCTCCAAAAAAATTCCTGCATTACCATTCCTTGACTTGTTCTGTAGCTCCCCTTTGGGGACAGCAGGAGAACAGAATGCTTGGGCAAGAAACTGTGAGAATAATGGTATTTTCTTTAGATCTTGATCTATCCTGCTATCTCTATGCTTCTGTAGCACTGCTATCATGGATGTTTATCCTATCAGCTTGCCAATAGCTTCTATCCTCCCTATAGCTCTGTCACATCCTATCCATATGTTAAAACTAAGGACAGGGAAATGCAACACAGTAAATTGCTGTGCATCTAACTCCAGGTTAGTGCCATGAGAAAAGAACGTGATGTGTAGAGCTGCTCCTCTGAAGTGCTCCCTTCCTGCTCCTCCTTCACACTTGGCTGAATTGCCCTGCCCTCTCTTATCAGGTCAGCTCTTCCTACAAAAAGCTGCAGAAGAATTAAAGGTGAATGCTCTCCCACACACTGTGTAAAAGAATATGTATATGATCCTAGATGTATCACATTACAGCTTCTTTAAAGCAGAACCAAAAGTACAGAGTTCATATGTACACTCAAATATGCTTTTCTGCTCCTATGATCTCACTTTGCTTGTAAGAGAGAACACGGAAGTGTGAAACTGCATCTTCAGTTCAAATAGTGTTCAGCAGATGCTGAGAGGTTTAACAACTGAATTTATATTGATGATGGCGATTGCATAGTTAAATCTTTTCTTCCTTACTTGGATATTCATCACTTTAAACCATGATGAGTAACTTTCAAATAGAATGTTTTGTATCAAGGGTCAATATCTCCAAAACAGCAAGTTCCAAATAATTTGAGCCTTTAGACTGGATAAATCAAAACTGATTGAAAGAGGGTGCATTCACACATGCGCTTTACTGCAAGTTGACTAATTAGCTCTTCAGTAAAGTGTCATAGTCTAGATGTGCGCACAAATTAATTAATTCTGCCATAGAATAGTACTGTCTGGGACAAGTACTATCCTATGGCACAGTAATTTATGCTGTTGCAATGCACATGTAGACAGTTACTGGGGTACGAGGATGCTACAGCTCAGAGGCTGCCTGAGGGCTAACCCTGCACTGTAGCACCCTCATGCCCCAGCCAGCTCTCCACCACCCAACGCCACCCCCTGGAGCCTGGGACTGACCCCCTGAGCCCCCTGCCAGCCCAGGGTTGCTCTGCCTCAGCTCAAATTGCTGCGATCCCAGGAGCACATGTAAGCACTGGGCCTGGGAAGAACTGACTCAAGCACAAAATGTACCAGAGTTTATTGCATTAGAGTAATTGCATATGTAGATGCACCCAGAGTGGAGCAGATCTACATCAGCAGGGCAGTGATCTATAGCATTAAAAGTATTTTGACATGTGGTGATCTTTCTGAGTTCTTTGCAACAGCAGAATTGCTCTATTATTTTTCTGAATCCCCAAATAAATGAAAACTAAGAGCTGGCAATTCCCAAGGGGTGCTTCAAAACTATCGGTGCCTCGAGTCCACAAAGGTTGAAAACTACTTCAGCAGGGGGAAGCAGCTGCAAGACACAGATCGTTGCTTCTAAGTGTAATGAATCCATGGCTGCATGCACACACATAGTATGTTCATCAGCAAATGTGCACACATTTGGCAACAGAACAAAACCTTCTGATCTCTACAACTAAAGCAAAAGGGAAAACCAGAATGAGTTGTAGGAGAGGTCTCATTAACACAGCATTCCTGGATTCATTTTTAACAAGTGACCCTCACCTCAGATTCCTAGTGGGTGACCACCGACTACAGGTGCTGGAGATAAACATCAGGGGTGTATGTACACAAGTTTGGAGGCTGGTCTGATGCACTGTAATTACAACATATAATTGAGTAATTACCATGCTGCAGCCAGCCTCTGCATCTCAGGTATTAGTGTCCCCACATTTCAAAATGGCAGCAGAGGCACTTCCACCATTTTGAACCAAGGGGACACTAACACATGAGGCACTCTGAGCATATTAATTAGAACAGCTCTAATTAAAGCGCCCCTCCCCCACCTCCGGAGCATGTCTAAAAACAGCCCAGGAATCTAAAAGACAGGGTAAGGTAGAGCCAAAGGTCTAGGTCCTTCATGCCCTATAATTCTCCTTCTGCACTTACTGACACCAGAAGGCCAACTGGAGTCATATGACCATAGCGATACTAAGGGAACACACCATTCAAGGACTTTTTATTTATTTTATATTTACTGAATTATAGACTTGCAAGGCTTCTGCATATTCTTCCTCCCCATCCCCTGAATTTCCCACGGGTCCACAA